GACCTGGGTACTTTGATCATTACTTAATCTCAGTGTTTTTCATTTATTTATTTATGTGTGTCTGTGTAAGTCTATGTGCCCATGTGGCATGCCTATGCTTGCGTGGGGCCATAAGAAGGCATCAGGTGTCCTCTTCAGTCATCCTCTCCACGTAGACCTTTGAGACAGAATCTTTTCCTAAACCTGGGGTTGTGTCTTGGCTAGCCTGGAAGCCAGTAAGCCTCAGAGAGCCTCTCCTCTCTGCTCCTCTCAGAGATGGGATTATAGGCATTTGTAAAATGCCTGACTTGTTAAATGGGTGCTGGCCCTCATCACTGTGGAGTAAGTATTCATAACTGCTGGGACATCTCTCTAGTCCCTAAATTCAATTTGTTAACAACAAAAAAAAATTAAGTTTCTATCAAAGTACTCCTTAAAAGTTTTTACCTTGTCTATGTCATCGTCTTTTGAGATCAGTGATCTGTATACCAGATATAAATCTTGCCCCCCAGACATCGAAATAGCCCAACAAAACATGCCCCCATTCAGGACTGAGCTTGAGGTAGGGATAGAAAGTAGAAAGATTTCTTACCAAATGATGTTAATGGAGAGTGGTGGGTGGTCTGTCTGTCTGGGGACATTTTTGGCACAATCCCGGTAAAGATGGTGGAACTTCAGCTCAGCCTGTCCTCTTATGATGCCTGATCCCTGCCTCCTCTGGACCAGGTGGTGTGAAAGGAGACCTCCTGATTGACATTGGCTCTGGCCCCACCATTTATCAGCTCCTCTCTGCCTGTGAGTCCTTCAAGGAGATCGTTGTCAGTGACTACACAGACCAGAACCTTCGGGAGCTGCAGAAGTGGCTGAAGAAGGAGCCAGGGGCCTTTGACTGGTCTCCAGTGGTCACCTATGTGTGTGGTCTCGAAGGGAACAGGTAGGTGATGGGTATCTGCTTTTCAGCCTTCTGAAGGGACCTGGTGTTTCTATCAGTCAAAAAAATACCATTGCGATTCAGTTGAAAAACACCAAAGAAACGCAAAGACAGAGACCAAAGGGAACTCTCGATGGAGAATGAGGGTTCAGGAGAATAGATCGGGTGCCCTCCACACTACCTGAGTATTATTGTCAAGTCCTCCAACCAAAACTGGTGGCTCTGTGTGTGCCTAATGCCGACGCCACCAGAAACAGCACAACATTGACCAGGATTGTTAACCGACAGAAGCAATATGAAGCAGCTATGCCAAATGAATCCATTACTCGCCATCTGTAAAATCAGAGCCTAAAGGGAACCGGAAGATGGTCAGCGGGTATAGTGCTTGTCACAGAAACGCATGATCCTGAGTTCATATCCCTCCCGTTTACTTAAAGAGCTGTCCTTTCCCCAGCTATCATCCTTATTGAAACCCAGCTGGTTGTAGATGCACGGACTTAGTCCTGGGCTCTCAGCTGCGATCCATTACTCTTTATTCTCTGGTTTTGTGTGTGTGGTAATGCTGTGCTGTTTGGGTGCCTATAGCTTTGTGCTATTTAAGACCAACACATCTTTCTGAAATACAAAACACCTGTCCAGAAAGCTCTGGGAGCTGCATTCCCACTTTCCCTAGATATCACGGCCCACATCTCATTCAAAAACGAGCCCTTCACTCTAGCAGGCTACTAAAAGAATTACTTATCTCCCCGCAGAACCGTCAGCTCAGAACAATTGCCTCTTAAGACGCCCTCCCCATCCCCGTCTCTTGGCCTGGATGAGGAACTGTACTTTTGGCAGGAGGTCCTGCGTGCCTTCCTTATCCTCACGCCACATCCAGCAGCTTCGACTATTTTGAGAACGATAGTGATCCCATCCCGCTTATATCTCTCTCACATCCTCGAGTTCCTCTATCAGCTTACAGTCCACTTTCGCCAGGATTGTTTCTTCTTTATCTGAAGATATTTCTTGTGCTGATGGCTTCCAAGGACAATAGAAGCTAGCTGCTTTCTTCTGCTGCTTTGGGAATATAAGTTGGACATTTAAAAATCACTCATGATTTTTTTGAATCATGACTATTTGAAAGTTTTAAGACATCAGTACCAAACTCTTATCTCAAACCATGAGATATTATGTAATTACCCTAGGTCTTTCATGAGCAAGACCTAGAATTTCTTAAGAAATTCTAGAAAAAGGAGCTGGCCTGCTCATTGGGAACTTTAAGAGGCCTTGCTGCTGTAGCAGGGAACCTGTGTTCAGTTCCAAGCACCCACATTTGGGTAGCTCACAGCTGTCTGTAACTCCAGTTTTAGGGGATCCATCTTCTAGGTTCTAATGGCATCCTCTACACACATCCATATACACAAAAAGAAAACTTAGAAAAGAAATCCTAGAAATAACATGAATTAGCCTTTGGCCCCTTGAACAACATATTGCTTAGCCTTGGGATCCTCAGATTAACAGCTTTAATACATCGTGTAGTAGCATGTTAAAAATGCAGAGTCCAGGGCTGGAGAGGTGGCTCAGTGCTTAAGAGCACTGACTGCTCTTCCAGAGGACCAGGGTTCAATTCCCAGAACCCACAAGGGAGCTAATGACTGTCTGTAACTCGAGTTCCAGGGGCTCCGACTCCCTCTTCTGGCCTCTGAAGGCACTAGACACACACATTGTTGGTGAACAGACATACACGAAGCAAAATACACACACACACACACACACACACACACACACACACATATATTTTAAGAAGAGGAGAAGCAGACCTTCAGGCCTCCCTGACTGTGCACAGGGCTTGAGTTCCTTCTTCCATGAGATCTGCTGAGGTGACCATGACGGTGGGAGAAGAGTTGGGTCTAGAGCCAAGATTCCCACAGACCCACCAGGATACCAGGATACCCAGGAGAAGGGAAATGAGTTAGAGTGTGCTGTGTAAGCTCTTTTTCTCCACCTATACAGCCAGTAGGGGTTTGGAGAAGACAGGGACTTCCAGGTGCCCCTCTAGAGAGCAGTGCCCCCCCCCCACAAGCCTTCCAGGAAAGAACTGGCTGGCATACTGGAATAGTGGCTGTTATCTGAAGCCAAAGGTCTCCACACAGAGGTTGGTAAGGGTTGGGCATGGTGGTGTATTTTGGTTAGCCCAGCACTCAGGAGTCAGAGACAGCAGCAGGCTCTTCAAGGTCAAGGCCAGCCTGAGCTACAGAGTGATTCTAGCCTAGCCTCTGCTACAAGGCACTTGCTTATTCTCATTCCAAGACCTACTTCTGATCAGGACCCTGATCAGAAGAATGCTGAGACTAAGGGCAAGTACCGTCATACCAGGCTTCTTCAACCTTTATGTCCTTGGGCTGTGTTGATGGCTTTGTCACAGGAACACGTGCTGAAGGCTACTGGGATGAGGACTGGGGCAGGGGAGTGGACCGGAAAGGGCTCCTGTGGAGATTCTGACTTACTAGCTGCCTTGCTTCTCCGTGTAGGCAGAATCTCAAGGTAATTACTGGGTATGGGAAGACATTCTTACAAAGGGCTCTTGCAGGAATCCTTACCTGTTCTTTCCTTCTCTGCCATGTCACTTGGGCTTGTGTAGCTAGCATATACACAGGGGAAATGGCAGCCTCTATTTGAAAGAGTCAATCTTTACAAGGAGAGCAATGGCCACGCCGCAGTTAGCTTTCTGTAAACCAAGCTCCATGCTGCTCCGGTATGTGTTTATCACCTTCTCCTTGAGCTAAATGTGAGGCTGAGTGGTAATTGCCTGGGTCTCCAGGAGAGTCCATTTCCCTGTGGGTGTTACCCACAGTCCTCGAGGAGCCCTGCGGGGTAATCTTTACATAGCTGCCTTGGCAACTGAGTTCACCAATGTTTGCTAAGCAGCCAAGGACAAGCAGGTACCAGCAGCGGTGGGAGAGCCTAACAAATTCCCCTTCTCAAATTGGCACATGTCCTGTGAGCTTTCGAGATTTCACAGTGGGCTTCACAGTGTGGGAACAATTTTCAGCATCGGCTGACTGGCAAGTGCTAGTTCTGTGGTAATTTGGGTCTTTAAAATAGCTTAATACACAATAGGGCACAAAGGTCCACTTTGCTTCTGACGTAATCGCTTAAATACACATTCTAACAATGTCCCCAGCCTAGAGTAGCACCCCCAAATCACCATGTTCTATTGCCTTAGCCTCTTCTATACACTTGTTGTGTATATGTGTAGACAGGTAATTCCGTTTGTTTTCTGATCTACTTTCTTTACTTATTTTCATAGACATCTATTGCTTAATAATCAGTTTTTCTTCTTCTTCTTAACATGCTCTGTCAAATTATCTGTACTGTAGCAGGGCTGGGTGACATGCCTGCTTTTAGGATGACGGTTGTTCTGCTTTGCCCAGGACTGCATAAAGAACCCAACACAGGAAATTTCAGCATAGGAAACTTTTAAACTGGAAAATTTTAAGGCAAATCAGCACAAAGTGGTTGCCATAGGACGGACCATCTTCACCCCTGATTAAGGGCGCAGGTAGACCCAATCATGGGTAATCTTTTAAAAGATTTATTTTTATTATTTTAAAGTATGTGTATGTTTCTCTGTGTGGGTATGTGACCATGGGTTCAGGAACCCATGGGGGTCAGGGAACATCAGATCCCTTCGAGCTAGAGTTACAGGTGATTGTGAGCTGCCCAGTGTGGCTGCTAGGACCTTAACTGATAACATGACCACTCCATGGGATGGTTGGAGAGAAGGTGTTTAATGTAGAGATGAGAGAGTGAACAGCCAGAGGCATCTGGAAGAGCCCAGAACAGAGAGAATGAAGTACACTGAACATGGCCAGCAGACCGGACATGGCCAGGACTATCTTCAAGAGAGGTGAGAACAGCAGAGGCTAGAGAAAAGTGAGAGTGGCAGGAACAGAACACACACGCGTGCGCGTGCGCACACACACAGAGAGAGAGAGAGAGAGAGAGAGAGAGAGAGAGAGAGAGAGAGCGCAAACATAGTGAGATTAGCAGGGCTATAAGGAGAATGAGCAGAGGGGGTGGGAAGCCAATGTGCTGGGGGAAGTTTACGATGGTGGGGGCGGGGGAGGCAAGGACTAGGATGCTAGCATGGACTTTGAAATGTGTAGCAGGTACTCGGGATACTGAAGGAGCCTGGAGGCCAGCACGAGCTTTGATGTGCTAATAGGCACCATATGTAGCTATAGGTCCTTCTGCCAGAGATAAGGAACATGACTCCTTTAGGTAGATGGAATCCGTTTTACAAGTTCCTGAGGAAGGCTGACTTTTATCTAACTGCCAGAAATCCTCCCACAGTCCAGCTTAAGCTCATAGGGCTGCCTTGTGGGGTTTGGGGAATTAGAGTTTCCTTTGGACCTAACACCCAGGTCCTCTGCAGTGTGGACTCTTCACCACTGAACCATTTCTCTAGACACCAGAGTAGCGGTTCTGGAAATTTCCTGATAGCACTTGCTAAGCCTCCACCTCGTTCTGTGTGATTCTCACTGTCTTCTCCCCAACGCTCCCTCTCTTCTTCTCTTCCCCTCTCTTCTCCACAGTTTTGCTACATAATCCTGGGCTGGCCTGGACTCACATATCACCCACTCTGGTCTTGAACTCATAACCCTCCTGTTTCACCTCAGCCTTGTGAGAGCGAGGATTAAAGGTAGATGCCCAAATGCCTGATCGACCCTTAGTTTTATATAGGGCAGCTTACTGAGCTAGGAACATACCATCAATAGATATATTTAAAGTGGAACCCAGTTTTCAGTGTATCCACAGCACTGTGTAATCTCATGTCAAATGATTTTAGAATATTTTTGTAAATTCCCCAAAGAAATTCTCACCCCTGCCAACTTCCTCAGCCTCTAGTAATCTCTTCCCTGCTTTTAGTCTCTAGAGCCTTCCTGGACATTGCATGGAAGCGGGATTGTGTAACGCATGACCTTTGGTTCTGGCTTCTGTTACTTAGTATTATGTCTCCCGGGTCCACCCATGTTGTAGCACACATCAGAATCCATGTGTGCAATTAGTTTCCTCCTCAGCTGTGCGTCTCCCACATTAGAATTACTGATTTATAGGCTGTTGGGTACTTAAATTGTCTTGGATCATTTAAGCACATACATATACAAATTTTTGTGTGGATAGATGTTTTGTTTGTCTTAAGTGGTAGTTTGAATGCAATTGGTCTCCATAAGCCCATAGGGAGTGGCACTATTAGGACACGTGGCTTTGTTGGAGAGGGTATGGCCTTGTTGGAGGAAGTGTGTCACTGTGGAGGTGGGCTTTGAGGTCTCAGATATGCTCAAGCCATGCCCAGTGTCTCAACAGTTGACGTCCTATTGCCTGCAAGGTGTAGGACTTTCAGCTCCTCCTCCAGCACCATATCTACCTGTACACCACCATGTTCCACCATGATGACAATGGACTGAACCTTTGAGGCTGTAAGCCACCCTTTAAATGTCTTCCCTTATAAGAGCTGCCATGGTCTCCGTGTCTCTTCGCAGCAATCGAAACCCTAACTAAGTCATCCACGAGTGGAATTCAGGGCCTTGCAGAAACTTCATGTTTAACTTTTGGAGAAACTTTTAGACTATTCTCCAAAGCAGTTGGACTGTTTTAAATTCTCACTGGCAGTGTAGGCAGGCATGTTCCTTGCCAACACTTATTACCTGTCTTTTTCATGCTAGCCCTCCCAGTACATGTGAAGTATAACCTTGTGGTTTGGCATATTTCTCTGATGGCTGGTGAGACTCTCTGTCTCTCTACCCATAACCAAGCCTCTCAGATGAAAAGTTATAGCAAATTGAAAGGACACTGGCAACTAATAGAAGGTGCCAAATGCTCAAACTAGATGGCCACAGACAACTTCGCTCACCTTAAATCTTTCTGCCTAGACACAAATTTAAGTTTTCTTCAAACCATTGACGCTTCCTTATGACCTGAACTTGTCCTGACTTAAGCTCTTCCTTCTTGGTGGATGTTGGGTACCATCTACTGTCTCCATCAAATGGCCATCTCATCTCCTAGGGTCTGTATCAGACAACTGTGTTCCCTGAGTTTACAGCTGTGCAGTGCCCAGGTGCTTTGTCAACCAGTTTTGTCAAAGGGGTCTGCACCAGTAAGTAGTCAGGGCTCCGATTGGAGCTCAGGGCCCTGGGTACTCCATTCCCTTTCTCTTTGGCTTTCTGCTATTTTTTTTCCCTTGTCTGGTTCCCCTCTCCAGTTCATCTGGTGGGCTCCACACATTTGTTTATTACTCTGTTCCTTCTTTTCTCCACTCGCAGACGCGAAATGGACCCCACATGTCAGTCAGCTTTCCATTTGGGTAGCTAATAACTGAGACAGTAGCTCTGCAAAGAGGAAGACTCCCTTCAGCCCATAGTTCCAGGCTGCTTATAAGGCTATGGCGGAGGATCAGGGTAGGAACATGTGATGGAGAAAAGGCGCTCACCAGCAGAGAGAAGATGCCAGAACCCTACAATCCCCGTTGGGGCATGTCCACAGCAATGGTCCACTGGGCCCCACCTTCTAATGGACTCCACCACCTCGCAGTAGAACCCAACCAGTGACAAGCCTTTCACACAACAGCCTTTGAGGGACATTCCAGATATAAACTACAGAACCATCCATGACCTCATTTTCTGTTCCTGCTTTCTCATCTCTATCGATTAATTGAAATTCCATTGATTTGTCCAAAAGAGGCAGTTGTCTTGATGGGGTTACCAAGAAAATAAGGTTAGGAAAGTCGCAGTCAGGAGAAAGGGACTGACCTGAGACCCTGGCCACAGTGGTAAGCTAACCAACAAGGGGTTCTCTTGGTGTCGTTTGATGTGGGAGTGTCATATATCATCTGTTGATTTCATTGGTTAAGCAATAAAGGAACTCTTTGGCCCTGATAGGTTAAAACATAGGTGGGAGGAGTAAACAGAATAGGATGCTGGGAGGAAGAGGAAGTGAGGTCAGACTCTGCTCTGCTCCTGGAGAGACTCAACAGCTCTGCTCTCTGGAGCAGAGACGCCAGGCTCCGCTCTCCCAGGCAGCTTCGACCCAGGATGGACGGAGGCTAGAATCTTTCCGGTAAGTGCACCTTGGGGTGCTTACACGCATTATTAGAAATGGGCTAGTCTAGGTGCGAGAGTTAGCCGAGAAGAGGCTAGATAGAAATGGGCCAAGCAGTGTTTAAATGAATACAGTTTGTGTGTTGTTATTTCAGGCATAAGCTAGCAGGCAGCCGGGGTGCTGGGGACGCAGCCCTGTTGCTCCTATTTCAACAGTCGTTTGTTTATTTATTCATTTTTTTTTTTGAGCCAGAGACTCACAGAGCTTCTTGTAGCCCAGACTGACCTTGAACTCATTGGATAGCCAACTTCTGATCCTCCTGCCTCCACCCTCTGAGTGTTGGAACTGCAGGCAGGCAGTGCCACACCCATGCCCAGTTTATGTGGTGCTGGGGATGGAACCCAGGACATAATACGTGTTAGACAAGCATTCAGTTGATTGAGCCAAATCCCCAGGCCCCATAACCAACAGCTTGTAAACCTGTCTAAGCTGGATCCCATCCCCCCATGAACAGGTAACTACTGTAAAGACAATCGTTCAGCACCTAAGCTCCTTTATTGACTGTGTGAGTCAAATAGCTTCCACCTTGCAGTTTGACAAAGCAGCCAAGGACAGTACTGATAACTTAAAAATATATATTAATAAAAGGTGGGAGAAGGGCAATTCCATGGAGGGCAGTTCGTTTCCGAAGCAGGTGGGAGCTATTGTGATTGTTTTCGTGACTCAGCTTGGGGTAACATTCAGAAACCGGAGTAGGATGAATTTAAGAACCACAGTATGGTCCACACTGACATACAACCTCAGCTCCAACCAAAGAAAACTGGGGTCCCCATATGTCGAGCAGTGAGTGATGCTGGTCTGTGTGTGTTTTCCAGAACCAAGGGACCTGAGAAGGAGGAGAAGTTGAGGCGGGCAATCAAGCAGGTTCTGAAGTGCGATGTGACTCAGAGCCAGCCTCTGGGGGAAGTCTCTCTGCCTCCTGCTGACTGCCTTCTCAGCACACTCTGCTTGGACGCTGCCTGCCCTGACCTCCCCACCTACCGCACTGCCCTCAGGAACCTGGGCAGCCTGCTCAAGCCAGGGGGCTGCCTGGTGTTGGTGGACGCCCTTAAGAGTAGCTACTACATGATTGGAGAGCAGAGGTTTTCCAGCCTTCCCCTGGGATGGGAGGCCGTTCGAGATGCCGTGGAAGAGGCTGGCTATACCATTGAGCAGTTTGAGGTGATTTCTCAGAATTACTCTTCTGCCACAGCCAACAATGAAGGACTGTTCTCCCTCGTGGGGCGCAAGCCAGGCAGAGCTGAATGACATCCTGTGATCTCAATTAAAGGTTTGCTGGTTCGTTTTGGACTATGGTGCTGATGGCGGTGTTCATTGTGTGGTGTAGACACTGACTGGTGGGTTCAGGGTGGGGTGGGCAGTCTAAGATAAGTTCATGGGTCATTCCTTAGTGTTCCATATACACATTAATGCTATGGGACCCCCAGGTGAGTAACTGAGACATCTGGTGTCCTCTACCTGTACTCACACAAGAAGCTTCACCACCATAAAAACGCAGTTACGGCCACACCTGTGAAGCATGCGTGAATCAAGCTCATGCCTGACTACAGAGATAGCCGTTTTTCACTGTTAACCTCCCAGGGAGTGGCTGAATCCTTCTCTTGCCTTCTTCCTGGAGAGACTGGCACACCCCAGCTTCTGATGCTGATGAATATGCCCTGGGCCTGGACAGTCTCTAATAGACGTCCCCTCTACCGGCACCAGTCTGACTTCAGGGTCCAGAGGACAGCTGACCCATATTTCTTCCAAATCATCTCAGTGATCCAGATGTTTTTCTTTCCTAAAGCTCCTCGCCACTTCCAAATTCCACCACTCCTTAGGCAGGTTATCTAACCTCTCCGTGCCTCGCTTTCCTCATTTGCAAAATGAAAGTGAAATAGAACTGCTTGTTAAGATAATGAAAACGAATTACAAGCTAGAAAGAATCCAGAGGGATACTCAGTACTCGGTGGGCATCTAATAAATGTTAATGATCATAATTATCATCACAATCACTATCCGCCCCGTCTTTGCTCTTAGTTGCCAAAGCCGCTGAGAAGAGGTATTCCCATGCTCCAGTAGGAAAGGAGTCCTTCTCTGGGCTCTCTACGGCTGTGGCTGTCAAGAGCATCCACAAGAAAATAGTTCCTCACCACACACCGCCAGTTCCTCCTGATTCAAGAGCTATCCAGCAAACGTGTATTTAGCTCCCTCCACGCGCCTTCCCTGTGCCAGATCCTGGGGATGGAAATGAAGCCTCAGTGACAGCTGCCTCAAGGGCCCTCATCTTTGCAGACACAGTGACGTGACAAGAGCTCCCAGATGCCGCCAGAGACAGTGCTCTCTCAGTCCCCACCCAGAGTCCTCCTATTCAGCATCTTCTGCTCCAGCAGTCCTTCCTGACAGAGCCTGGGAAGGCCAAGTGAAGAAAGCTACTCCCCTGCCTGTGTGTTAGAGCCATGCTGGCTTCCTGCCCAAGAGGCAGAGAACACATTCTGTCTCTACTAGGGTTGGCCAAGAGCCAGATGGCAACTACTCTTTGGCTTTGTGGGTTGTACAGTCTTTATGGATGGATGGATTGATTGATTGATTGATTGAGGAGTGAGTGTGTTAGACAGTGTCTCACTATGTAGTCCTGGCTGTCCTGAGACTCACTATGTAGACCAGAATGGCCTTGAACTCACAGAGATCCACCTGCCTCTGCCTCCCAAGTGCTGGGACTTAAGGCATGTTCTGACATGCCTGGCCTTGGTCATATACGTTTGATCACAGATATTTCCACCCTGCAGTTGGAGCAGAATGAGCCACAGATGACGTGTAGGTGAAAACACAACTTCCCTTACTAAAACAGGTGGATAGGTAGGTTTGGACCAAGGGCTGCGGTTTATAGACCTTTGATTGGGATCTGAAGCAGCCCTATTTGTGACGCAAGTTTAATGAAGTTTCTTGTGTACACTTTGGTTATCTTGCAACACGCAGTCTACTTGTAAAGGAGCTCAGCCCCTATACAAAGGTGAGGACAGGGGGCAGGCGGGATATTGTTTCTTCTCATTCTGCCCTTACTCTCTCTCTCTTTATTGCTGTTCTCCTCAATCAAAACCTCCCAGTTTGAAGCCATTCCACAAATGCAAACAGCAAATGAGGAAACAAGAAGGGCCAGGGGAATACCAGGCGAAATGTCCAATACACCAATATTTTCACACTGAAAGTCACGATACTCATTGGAGTATCATAAAATCAATTGAGGACACCACAAAGCACATTATAAAAATGACAGAGAACAAACTGGACCAAAACAAATCCCCGATAATAGAGCAGCATGCAACAACATTTTATGAAGTTTTGTTTTACAAATCTATATATCTATCTGCTCCCACGCTGGCCTGCATTTAGGCACAGTTAAGTTAGCGCTGTAGGCACCTTCCACTCAGAGCTGGCTTCGTGGCTGTGTATCTATCTGAAAGGTATCTATTACATGTCCGTGACCACTGCTTTAGTTTCTTTTCTGTTGCTGTGATAAAATACTCGGACAAAAAGCAAGTTGTCAGAGAAAGGAGTTCGTTTCAACTTACAATTCCAGGTTACAGCACACCATTGTGGGGACGTCAAGGCAGGAACTTCAAGCTGCTAAACATATCATGTCCACAGCCAAGAGCAGAGAGATAGGGATGCGTTCATAATCGATTGTTTGCTTGTCCTGGGCTCAGTTTTGCCACTCTTACATAGTTTAGGACTCCTTGTGTAGGGAGTGGTGCTTCCCACAGTGGGCTGGGTCTTCCCACATCATTTGACTTAAGACCAGATCTCCACAGACATCCCCATAGGCCAAGCCAATGTAGATGACCCTTTCCTGAGACTCTCATTCTAGGTGATTCTAGGCTGAGTCAAGTTGACAGTTAAAGCCAGCTATCACAACTTGATGATGTATTTGATACTGGATTATGAGATAGCTTGTGTTTCTTACTGGCAATGATCCAAAAAGTTGGAAAACAACTTGCCTGTCCTCTGGAATTCTGGTATTGGACTATGAGTACCCACATATTTTTCTTTCTGGCAGAGGTAAGATATGTAGCTTCTTCCCCTTAAAGGATGCTTAGTCACTTGAGGGGAGGAAGGGCTCAGATAGAGTATCAGTAGCACTGGGTGCTTGAAGGGAGGGTGCTAAAGCCCACGGTACCTGTTCTGGGTCTTGTAGGCTGAATAAGGGTGTGTGTTTTGCAAGCAGGAAGGGAAGAGAAGCGTGGGGGACAGTGTGTGCCGATGCCTGGAATGACTCCTGCCGGTAGCAGACGCACTCTTTACCCGTTTGTTCTTTCAATGAAACCCAAACCTAAGCAAACATTTGGCTTCTGGCTTTTTTTGTTTGCCTTTTCTGAAATCAAACGCACCAACCAAGTCATGAGCAAACAGGTCATTCTGGTTTCAACTTGTAAATGTCTTTGACCGCTGACCTTGCTCAGCTTTTGCTAGAGGACTTTCTGAGGGGAGCGTTGAACATTTCGCCCCTGCACAAACTTGTGTGATGCAGGAGACTACGTGGCTGTGCACAATGCCTTGGGGAAGACCAGGGGGAAAGAAAGCTATTAAAGAGGTGGTTAGCTCCTTTAGTATCATGCGTTCCAGCCTTGGTAATTCCTATCACCTGGCTGTCAAGAGTAATCAAAGGAGATGTTCACAATATGGCTTACAGGCTCTGCATTAAAGGCTGTGACTGCCTTTTGACCAACTCAGAGATTCAAGGCAACCAGTAAATCACATGAATGTGGGGGAGATGCTGGGGAGCATCATTAGAGCCCCACGCCACTTTCATCAGCTGGAGACCTTGCTCAAAAACAGGGGCAATAGGTATCTCTCAGGACTGGACTGAAATCAAATGGAATTCCCATAAAGCCGGTCTGTAACTTGCCATGCTATATTGAAAGTCATCAGTATAATTAACTCTTTCCAGAACATCTGTTGAGACATGGGTTGCTATGTTCATTGGATTTTCATAATGAACAGCGTTAAATGTGATCTCCCAAACTCACTTTGTCTTTTATCCAAGTCTGCCCCGTGGACAGTTGGAATCCAACCTTCTTTAGAGTGAGGCATCCACTCAGAAGACAGCACATTCTCATTAGATTCTAAATCTTGTCTCTGGCTCCATGGGTCTTAATCCCTGGGAAAGGGCAGAGGCCATGGAGTCTCACAGTGCCTGGAAAGAATGTGTCCTAGTCAGCTTAAATCATCAACCTTGCCCAGCCTAGAGGCATCTGAAAGGAAATCCCTCTGAGTTGAGGGATTGCTTGCATCTAGTTGCCCTGTGCATGTCTGCGAGGGATTATCTTGATTGTTAATGGATGTAGGGGTGCTCAGCCCACTGTGGGCAATACCATTCCCTAAGCACCTAAGGTGACCCTGGATTATAAGAAAGGCATGCAAGTAGCACACACGTCAGTGAGCAGTATTCCTCCATCCATGGCTTCTCCTTCAGGTTCTTGCCCAGACTTCCACCAGTGATGGGCTATATGACCTCAAAATGTAAGCCAAATAAATCTCTTCCTCCCCTAGTTGCTTTCGGTGAGAGTGGCTTTTACAGCAGCAGAATGAAGCGGGGACAGCACACTATAATAGTAAATAGGTCTTCTGGTCCTCAGGAATCACCAGTCTATCCAAACAAGGCTTAACAGACTTTCCTTACAGCTGTACCTCTTGTGGACAGCCTCGGTCTGTTCAGTTCAGCTTTGTTATAAAACAATGTTCCGCTTCTACACTGAATTTTTAAATATGATGGCAAAGAGAAACACCGCTGTGTGAATGGAGTCACAGGATCATCCTGCTTCCTATTTCCAGTGGAAGGAAGAATCTCGATGCTTTGGTCCTTCCCGGCCAGTTTCTCTCATTGAGTGGACGCGCATTGTTTGACTTCTGTGTGGCCAGCAGAGGGCGCACACGGCTCTTACTGAAGCCTTTTCCAGCCTGGGACCATTCAAGCCAAAAGGAATTTAAATAGAAATTAAACCTTTCGAAACAAGAAAGCTATTTCCTTTGGACACTCTACTTATGAGGTTGCTAAGAGAAGGGGAAGAGAGCTCAGCACATTTTTCCTCTAACAAAAAAATATGTGTGATTACTTTTACACACTTTAAAATTTTCCCTTTTGGGTCTATATATAAAATGCAAATTTTAATAACTCATACAGAGGGTCTGGGCCAGTTTAGCATGAGAAATGTTGAATATTAGATTATGTGGTTAACTTTCCATCACCTTCTATTTCCTGTTTATTCAACAAAAGGACAAGAAGTTTTTGTGCTTTAGCAAATCTTTTAATA